GTTTTTGCGCCGCAGATAATTTTTTGGAAAAAAAACAGGTCAAAAAACCGTTTTTGGGCACTTTTTGGAAAATTTTGACAAAAAATCGCGTTTTTTTTGGCGCGCCCTCCCCCTGAAAGTAAGTATATATTGGCGCCAAAGGCGCCTTTAGAAAAATTTTAGGGTCGGTCGGCCAAAAATGGATTTCTAAAAAAGTACCAAAGGGGGGAGCCTTTGGGTCGGCAGAAGGTCGAATCCCTGAGGGAAAACATAAAGTGTTTATCAAAATTTTATCGCAAAGCTTACCTTCTCCGCAACTTTCATCACTACCTGCAAGCTGTTGGACGTGATGTTGCATGTAATCATCCAAATATTTCAAATCTTTGTGTAACTTTAGCCTGCTTATCAGTGATTTTTGAACAGGATTTTCATTGCAAATAGTCACGGCTGGGAATTCCAATTCAGAAGCTGACACAATTTTCACTTCCATGTTTGTAGGGTATTTTAGGTATTTATCAACAAGCCGATAGAGGGAGTATGAAAAAGTTGCAATTAAGCCTAGATAAATGGCTATCCAGATATATCGAAATGTTTTGTGAGTTCCGCCAACTTGAGGCATAATTGCATTTCTGAGGCGTTTTCTGGCTTTCCTCATTACAATTTCAGGAGTTTTGTTTTCAAAGTAGCGTGAAATTAGTTCGAATCTGAATGAGCGGCGTCGAAGTTGTCTTTGCGGCGGAAGTGTTGCAAGAGGAACATTGAAAGTGGTTTCGGTGGTAACTCGAATCGGATTTTTGGTTAGTCCAATTAAATTGAGATTTTTTACCTTAACTTATTGGTTTGGATCTGAGAGGCTATAAAACTTTTTATTCCTTGGAAACTGATTAAGAAGAGAAAAATTGTTGGAATTCAAGTTTTTTAGCAAACAAAGTTGTGGCGAAAAAATCAGAAACTCCTGAATGGATTAACCAAAATGACCTTCCTTTTGTATCTGACTTTTTTTGGTCGGTATCTTCCAAAGTGCCGGAATACTGGAATGGTTCACGCTGACGAAGAATGCTTCTTGGTTTTTCATCTGCCATTGTACTATCACTAATTTTTATACAGTCACAAAGCAATCATCAAATACAAGTTTGGACCTTCTTCCAAAATACAAGTTTTTGATACCAACTTATTCACATAGCCAACAAAAACTGTTTAAAATACTTTTATAATCATAAAGATTATAAATTGATTTGGATTTTAATTCTGTAATCATATAAGGAAAGCTACTCAAAAGCTTTTTGAAATCGTAGATTGTAGATCAGCCCTTATTATTTAAGACTTGTTTATCAGATAATCCAAGCTGAAACAACAAGCAGACACAATTGAACGGGGTTTTATTTAGTTTTAGGATCATGTGTCAATATTTTATGTTTAAATTTTCAGAGCACGCTATGATAAATCTCACTCGTCTTGCCTGTAACGATAAGAAATTTGCACATTTGGTCCGAAGTTTTAATCCCAATCGCGGCATTGCTGTTTTCTTGGTTGAAATATTCTACGGTTACGAAACTGAGCCGACAAACCCGGGTCGACGTGCTCGACTTATGTTTAGACTTTGAAATTTTAAATCCAGAACAAAGTCGAAATATACCTGATTTTGGTCGAGATAGTCAAAAAATTCTCAATTTTGGTAAATCATAAGGGTTTGGTATAAAATAAAAACATAGGTCGGGAAAGCCGAGAAATAGGTCACGAACAATCGAAACATGCCTGGTTTTGGTCGAGAAAGTCGAAACATACATCGAGCACATTCTATTTTTATCGAAATTTTGTTTTCTTTTTCAAGATTTTATTTACTTAAAGACTGGAATTGAGCCAAAAAACGTGCTCAAAAAATCTCAGTTCGAAAGTTGCAATCCGCAACAATCAATTGAGGAGATTTGCTTACCGCAAAACTACAATTTTCGAAGGAAAACTTTTAAGGTAGGGAATTCTAAGGATTCCTGGGGCACGAAAAAGTAATTTCTACCAAAAATTCCTCAAATATCAGTTTTCATATCAACATTTTCAGTCCAGGTTTGTATGAAAAATAAAATAAAAATTGGGTTATTCAACTTGAAAACTTTTTTTCAATGGAGGAATTTTGTAATTTACAGGTTCTTGTAGTTTATTTTCAAATCAAGCATCATCGCAAAAAAATCAAATGAAAAGCATACATTATAAATTTTTGTCATTTACTCCAATTATTTATCTGTCTTAAAAGTCAAGAACTTTGAAACATTTTTCGGGCACAGTCAAAATACCCATTTTTTCTGCTGAATGTTCTGATGTGTTGTAATATTTAGCATAGTTAACAAATAAACTATTTCTAGAAAAAGTTCACAATTGATGGAACATTCAAATCCATAATTGTTTCAACGTTTTTAAAGTTTTTCCGCGACCAGTTCCCACTATATAATGTATATTTGTTCCGTCTCCGACTTTCGATACGAAAGTAACGGAATATTTGTGCTCGGGTGGGTTTTTTTTTCTTCAGACAAACTTTGACTTTTTAACTAATTTGACGGATTTTTTTTATATCCTTTTTTTATATCCTTTTTTAAAGTATTGTTGTCCTGAGCTTAAATTTGAAAAGATGTTTCACCTGTGATCATTTTTGGTAAAGTTATGAGGGTTTAAAGATTGCCATTTTGGCCATTTTGACCAATTGAGGACAACTAACGCGCGATATAGTTCGCGCTATTAACGCGTAAGCGGAGATTTAATCCGTCTTATAAATCGATCCAAATTGGTTGAACGAAGCTCATTTGCCATAATTGATTTGTTACAAGGAACCAAATCTTTCTTTTTGTACTTTATAGGGCGTGTGGGGATGATTTTCATGAAAAATTGCAAATTTAAAAACAAAATTCATTTTATTTTATTTCATTTATTTTTTTGTTATTACTGCTGCTCCATAAACCTTAAAAGGCAGTCGGATCATTCAGGGCTTCGCCCTGATACGACCAGTCTTGTTGATAATTTAGCATCTAGTAGCGTTTTATTCAGCTTGCCTGAATTCAGTTTGAAAATTGTTTGAGCCAAATAAGCAGCTGCTTTTACTTAGAAAGCACAAAATGTATCAATAATAGCTGTGTTCAAACTCTCGTCACTTCACCAACAATTATTAGCGGCAAATCTATTTCTATATATGAGCTCGAGACGTCAATGATTTCAGATGGTAGAGAAAATTTGATCAAACTGGTTAATTAAAAACTAGAAATTCAGTTATTCAAAAGTTTACTTTTCAAAAATTGGAAAAAACAAACCGAGTAAGCTTGGGTTGACCTCGTATGACTAAAAAAGCTAAGTGAAAGTATATGAAAAAAAATCAAATCATATATTTCTTACATTTTTACATCAAGATGGTATGATTGAAAATTTTTTTTTCTTGTAATGGTTTAAATTTTGGTGTTTTTATTTAAACAAAAAAAAAAAACACAGAACGATTTTTATTATCAAATAAAGTTCTTCCACAAAACTTTTTGCCTAGAAAAGTGATTTTTTGATGCATAACGTAGTTCTGAAAACAGAAAATTTAGATTATTTTCAAAAACACTAATTGCTCAGTTTTATTTTTTTTTGTATAGCGTTTTTTTCATGTCATGGGCTACGCATGGTTAATTAGAACTAAAACTTTTATTTACTAGAACTCTACGCAAAAATTAGGAGTTTGATTCTTTTTGTTCCGACTTTTGATACGAAAGTAACGGAATATTTGTGCTCGGGTGGGTTTTTTTTTCTTCAGACAAATTTCGACTTTTTAAGTAGCCATTTTTGACGGAATCTTTTTATATCATTCGAAAAGTATTGTTGCCCTGAGCTCAAATTTGAAGAGATATTTCAACTGTGATCATTTTTCGTAGAGTTACGGGGGTTTAATGATTGCCATTTTGGCCACTTCGGGACAATTAACGCGCGATATATTTCGCGCTATTAACGCGTAGGCGGAGAGTTAAAAATCGTTCCAAATTGGTTAAAAGAAGTTTATGTGCCATAATTGGTTTGTTACAAGGAGCGAAATCTATCCTTTTGTACTTTACATGGCGTGTGGGGAGATGATTTTTATAAAAAATTTCAAATTTTAGAATTTTTTTTTCATTTTGTTTTATTTCATTGAATTTTTTAAATGTTATTACTGCTCCATAAACCTTAAAAGGCAGTCGGAACATTCAGGGCTGCGCCCTGATACGAGCAGTCTTGTTATTGATTGTTTGAGACATCTACATTCGAAGCATTTCCTTAGATTTGTTCTTGCAAGACTGTTGAATCTTTGATGACTCTAGCTTTGAGTTACAAGAGTCTTTGTGATTTAAGCTTGATAATGAACTCATTTCAAAAAATTTGAGAAATTAAACGGAAAAAATTTTTTTTTTGACTGTTGGAAAAAGCTTGTCTTACAATTTTTATAAATGAAAAAATTGAAACATTGATTTTTCAAGCAATTTTCTGTACTTGCTGAATTAGGTGAATAGTATATGAATAAAATTTTTTCATATTTGAAAATAGTTTGATCATCTTTTCTGGTCAACCCGTGAGTATTCTATCACTTGCTTGGAAATTTAGAATTTAAATAAACCTACTTGTTTTTTTTAAGTTTGTTTGTAACAAATTTTTTAAATCTCCCTTACGAGGCCAAACTGTGTATTAAGTGAATTGTGAGCAAATTCTGCAAACAGGCCATTCCTTTTGATCTTTTTCGATCTTGTGTTTCCTTTGATTGTGCCGACAAAAATTGAATATGTTTAAAGTCTTGTTTCTGGGTTCCAGTGCTTCAAAACACACACCAAAACGTGCTTCAAATGGAGGGTTTCTTTTATATTTTATTTTAGCTAATTATTTTTTACGGTTCGGCGGTTAACAAAAAAAGATCGATTTGTTTTTAAATCCGCCTCCCTCACTCGACTCGAGAAAATCCTAGGATAATTTATTGAATTATTCTAGGAATTATCCCTAAATTCCAGGCCTGTTTAAAAAGTATTAATTTATTGTTCCAGGTGTCGAGATGTGGCATGATCTATATGGAGCCAGAGCTACTCGGCTGGCACCCCCTCATGACGTCATGGCTGCACACTCTGCCCAAGACACTTCGGGACATACACAAACACACCCTCACTCAGCTGTTCCACAGAATACTCCCCCCCTGTCTCATGTTTGTCAGGAAGAGTGGCGCTAAGGTGGGTAAATTCTGATTTTTTGGGGGGGGGGGTTGAAATTTTATGATGCAAGGGAAATTATGATTATTATACAGAGAACGATGTACAGCATCTAAAAGCATTTAAGAGTGAGGGAAAAGATCTAAAGTGTGGGATACCAAAGTTTTTTGAGTATGTTTCTCCAGTATGTTTAATTTTCTCCATGAGGAAGGAATTAAACACTGATGGAAATAAAATTATTGAAACTCAAATAAAGTGAAAAAAAAAATGGAACAGATAAAATGAAAAAAAAAATCTATCTAAAAAACCGAATCTTCATCAACGAGAAAAAATTAATTGGTTCAATTGGTTGATAGTTGCCAGAAAGATCGGAAAAGATCGTTATCAAAAAACATTTGAAAAAGTTTTTTATTTTGGCCAAATAATTTTGCTCTTAAGTTCAGAAACCAACTTAGCCGAAATACTAAATTCAGCTCAATAAAGCATCAATTTTTCCATTGAAAACCAGGCGTTTGCGAATCTGTGTTTCTGAAAACAGACTTATAGCAAAAAGATGAAGTCTCCTATTTCAGGAATTGTCTCCGACCAACAACACCAATCTGGTCCGCTCTCTGATGAACTTGATTGACACCCAATTGACAGGGATTGCAGATGAAAACAAGATCAAATCATACAACGACAAGATAATCAACAGCTGGCTAGAGGGTATACATACACACATACACACATACAGACATACATATGGGCAATAGGTTAAACAAATCTTACTAGGCTTCATGAAAAATGTTATGTTCACGTTGATGCTTGAACCCAGAATTTACACTACTATTTTTGAACACTTTTCAGCAAAAAGAGATTAAATTTGTTTTTGAAAACCGATACAGTTTCTGTTTAACCTATAATGCCTATCATTTTGTATAATGCTTATTAGTTTGGTAAGTTTATAAACAAAACTTTTACTAAAAGTAGACTTATTTTACGTTCACTTGTTTGTTCACTTCTAGTGGTGATTTTTCTTGTATTTCTGTAATTTTTACTTTTTAATTCTACCGCCTTATCCTTTTCCCCCTCATGAAGGAATGTTCTTCTTCTCCCTCGTGTGGTCTGTGGGGGGATCAGTGACTAATGAACCTGGCAGAGTGCTGTTCGATGGACTACTCAGGGAGCTGATGAAGGGGCCACTGTCAGAGGAAACCAAAGTGGAGTGAGTAATAGGGCTGCTGTTTTTATCGCAAACTTGTAACTTAAAAAAACATTGCTAACATAGCGGTTGTTAAGCTGTCAATGAAAACTTTGAAAAGAAGAAAACTGAAATTTTTTTATAATTTGAGGCAGGGGCGGATCTAGGATTTTCTCGGGGGGGGGGGGGGGGGGGGGAATTTTCAAAAAAAACATCGAATAAAAGTTTTGCCGACTTTTTTTTTATTAGGTCGACCAAATTGATTTTCGAGCTCTTCCAAAGCACTGAAAAGACCTTTTTTTGGTCAAAGTTTTGAACAAACAGGCTAAAATAAAAGCGTTTTTAGGCACTTTTCGGAAAATTTTGACCAAAAAATTGCGTTTTTTTTGGCACGCGCTTCCCCCTCAAAAATAGTATATATTGGATATCTGATAATAAGACAAAGGTGGGCTTTTTGGGATGGCAGGGGGTTGAATTGCTGAAGTGGGAAAAGGCGTCCCCCCAAATCCACCCCTGATTTGAGGCATAATGTTGATTCAAACATGCAAAGAAACGAAGAAACGAAGAACGTTTTTTTTTTATCTCGCACAGTATAAGCGTTGTTTCTGTTTTGCGCAGTTTTTTGGTAAAGTGGACTGCTATCTTTTTATATGATTAATTTAACAAGATATCGAAAGCAAAATTCATGAAAGTGTAAAAAAATTGTGCGCGAACAGACTTTCAGCTTTTTTCTCAAAAAATATGAAAAAAACTCACGGTCTAAAGATTTGCCTTCAATTTGTTCATTGACACTTCAGACCGCTTGTTTAATTGTAATTAGTGACACTTATTATGAATAATGTGTAGCAAACTATACAACAACTAACTAGTTTACAATCAAGGCCAGCTTCAAATTTTCATAGTGTAAAATTAGAAAAAAATTGTCTTTTTACGGCCAACTAGCAATTTTTGCATAACTGAAATCTGATTAAAAGGTTCATTGCTGCAAAAACTGTCCACACTTTAGTATCAAAATAAAAGAAGCGTAAACAATCACAGAAATTTTTGGTTGAGTGGTTTTTGATCCGACCTCAATTGAATTTGGATAATTTTTATGCAAACCCAGGTACCAAAAATAATTATCAACGGGGTTTGCGCGACGTGTCAATTCAAGTCCATTCAGTCATGACTTGTTTTTTTTGCACTCCCTCGTCGCGCAAAATTACTCTAACAAAAAATTTGGTAAACAACGTTGTGATACGGACCATACAACGATAGTAGGATAAAATTATTTTGCAACCGAGCCTCTTTCACATTGCAGCACACGAGGGATTTCAGCTTTGAATCGTAAAATTACTGGGCACGATCAGCACCGAATGCCATTTTTGGCAAACCGATTTTTACAGTTTTAAAGAACCTTTTACCGCCACACTGAACTTCATAAAAAATATAAAATTTTTCGGAATATAATTTGATCAACTTGAAAAAAAAACTTAACTTTGGAAAAACTTTTGAAACTCCCCCTCGATAATGTTCTAAATCCGACCCTCGATGCAAAGTCAGTTTGCAATAAACATCAAGTACGAGGTACCTCAAACTCTAGCCAAATTTTTTAATTTGAAGTCCATCAGTTTTTTAGTTTTTTAGTCCTCAGTTTCCGATTTTAAGCACTTTTATAACAAAAACGTAAACATTGAAAAATAAATATATCATCTATTTTGCGCCACATTGGTATTATAATTAGTTCACAGAATAACTCAATAACTCATAGTTGAAAAGTATTATCGTTTTTTTTCCGCTAAAATTAACCATTTATCCAAGCGAGCTTAGTTGTAAAATTTTAATCCACATTTTTTAAACCCAAATTGCGTAACTAGTGTTCATCTGAGTGTTGACTTGTGCTGCAGAGGGTTGTCAATTAACCTTTTGAGTTTTGGATTCCGAGAGGCAGATGACATGTTTTTAATGTACTTTTCCTTTTTTGCCTAGGGTTATATTTGCTTGCTTTTTTCCTGATTTGTTAAAAACTTTTTTGAAATATGTTTTTGCCGTGTTCACACCTGTGTTTTCGCAATGCAGCTTCGCCTCTGTGTTGATTAGCTTTGCTGAAAATTGAAAACATCAAAAACAAGAAATCTGAAAATTAAAATTAAATTTTTAGAGCTTCGAACGTAGCTTGTCTTGAATACGAACTGCAAGGGTGGAAGATCAAACAACATGTGTAGCCTAAAGGTTCACAAGTTTGAGCTTCGTTAATTCTGGATTTACTGAGGCTCTACTTATACCTAGTCCCTTACAATCATCAAATATGATTATAAACTCATTTTTAAACAAAAAATTGCCCTTTAAACTATAGATACATTCTTATAGCACAGCGGGCTTCGGCTGCTAGTTCAATATCGGCTTACATAAGGTCCAAAAATTTTTGTATTAATTCAAGTTAGTTAAAAAGAAGTTATGTCAATAGAAATCATAGAGACAGGGGAGGGGGAGAAGGGCTGGCTTGGGGGGGGGGGAGTGGGCTCTACGTCGTTTGATAAACAGTTTTGTTTTGGTCTATCTTAAACTTGAATTCATCAAGATGAGTTTGTACAAAACGAATGTTTACATTACTAAAATATGTAAAAAAACCAATCGAAAACTTCTATTGAGCTTTACAGCTCTTCGAGAGAAGCCTTGAACATTTTCCGAAGAAATTGTCTGAAACATGGTAGTATAATAGTGCAAGTGGTTTTGAAAAAGTAAATCTAATAATTTTTTATTTTTATCTAACCAAATAACTGTCGTCTAAGTTAGTTTAATTTCGAATTGAGTGCCTATAAGGAAGTTTCGGATATTTTCTCAACCCAATCGACCCATGTGGACAAAATACAGTGTCGATCGCCCCATCTTTGGGGTCACATTTCAGCTCTTCACTGCAGACGTAGCTGGCTATTCCGTATACATAATGTGCCCGGCCATCTAGTCGAGCATCAGGTTTCTCCTGTAGATGTGCTCACCCCTATTTTCACTAAGGTTTTCGCCATCCGTAACTGCTTTTGCTCGTCAATCTATGAGTTTTTTCTATTTTGAGCGGTTTTAGTTCGCAATGGTTAGTTCATACGTTTGAAATAACACTTGTGTTTTCATACCTCTAAAAATTGTTTGTCTTTGGTAGATAAATAAATGGAAAGGTCGCTTCAATTACTGTAGCTCATAGAATGGTATATCAATCGTTCAAGTGTAAGGCAGTTTTTTTAAAAGTCTTTTTTTTTGCCTTCAATGTAGATGTTACTACTACTATAGTTGTATTTGGAGTACCACTATAGTTGTATTTGGAGTTAATTTGAAATGAAAGGGGGTTATTTTGCTGTTGGTTTATCTTGTTACGGGGTTATAAACTATGGCGTGTAACTATAAGGGGTTAATTAACGTGGGGTTAAAGAGTGGGAAACTGTTTTTGATATGCTGTTTTGAATTATTTCACTCTTTCATCTATTTTTTGGACGGGTTTTTTGCCTTATTCTCACCTGTGTTGTATCAATGCAGCTTCGCTTTGCCTCTGCGCTGATTAGTTTTGATCTTATTCATTTCCATTGTTTTTTGTACGGAAAGGAACTAATCTGATATTTGTTTGTCAATTTTTGTACTCGTTTTCATTTAAGGTTTAAATTAAACTCTTTTTCTTATACAGAAATTGAATTATTTAAAAACAAGAGTTCTAAAAGTTTAAATTTAATTTTTTAGACCTTCGAATGTAGCTTGTTTTACTTACGAACTCTGTTCATCTTAAATGTTCACAAGTTTGAGCTTCGTAAAATCTGGATTTTCTGAAGCTCCAGTCATACCTAGTCCCTTAGAATAATCGAATATGATTATAAATTATTTTTTAATCGGAGTGGGGATCTGTTGCAGCACTTCGTTTGAAAGTAGGTCCAACAGTTTTGTTTTCGTCTATCTGGAACTGAATTTTCGCTAATTGTTAATTGTTAATCGTTAATTGAATTTTAGAGAAATTTAAGGGTGGTTGTAAAAGAGCCGAAAATCGTTTTAAAGCCCAAAAAGGTTTCAAATGGCGTACACAATGAACCAAAGCGATGTTTTTCTGTAGCTTATGATTTTTGCCAACATCCTACACCAAGTGCGTTCATCCTACAGCAAGTGCGTTCAATAGAAGTTTCTCAAACACCCAGATATTTTTCGAAAAGTAGTGAAGGTTAAACATCTGTTTTTACTTGAACTGAAGGAACCGATCTCTTGATCGTGTAAAAATTTTATTTTTATCGAAAAGTTGGAATGAAAAAGTACCAACCTGAACAGAAAAATTACAGCATCTCTTCAAAAATTGGGTGGAAAAATCAAAGTCACGTGCTTGCAAAATTGTTCGAAATAGCTATCAATCCGCCTCAATTATAGTATCTTATAAAAATTTTCAACCCTGTTGAAAAACAGCTCTTAATGTTGCCAAAGCAAAGCAGTACGTGCATTGACGCAAGTAAATAAAGATCGAATTCGTTATAAAAAAGATGCTCTTTAAATTGAGATTGATTTCTTTTCAAAAATAGGAAGATAAAAAAACGTGGAAAGAGATGGGTCTGAATGAGTTTGATATCCATTTAAAATGATCTTTCTTTCAAGCTAAAAAATTCTAAGGCGAATGGATTCTGATGCAATTTAAATATGTATTTTGTCTTTACACTTATTATTTGAGAGAATAGGCATCAATTTATATCTATTTATAACGGTTTAAATCGAATTCAATTGCTTTCTATCCACCGTTTTTGTCCTTATCTTTTTCACAGGTTATCTTGACTTGTTCGATTCTCAATTATTATGAGCTAATTAAAAAAAAATTATAAGCAGGTTGTCCCTTTAAATTTGCGGGCTGATGTTTGACTTAAAATTTCTAAAATAAGGTCAGTACGAATTTCTCAAAGCAAAATTAAATACTTGAGTTTTCTATTTTTTATTGATATACTTGAGAAATTTGATCTTTAAATCGCACACGAAACAATTTTGCGTATATATACTTTTTTGCCGTAGATTGCAAAAAGCCGTAGATTGCAAATTTACTATCGACCCCTGAGATTTAAATGGCTTGCAGTAAACACCTATTCTTCTCAAAAGACTAGATCAAAGTAACAGCAAAATTAGTAATTTAGTAAAAAATTAGTTTTAAAAAGCTCTAAGCATAAAAAATTGATCTTTTTACAACCCCAAAAACAGAAACATTTCATATAAGTTGGTGTGAACCATTTTTGTATAAACTTTATGTTTTTATGACCCGTTAGTTCGCATTTAAACCAGCGAAAACCATTTTCTTTAGTCACGAAGATCGATTACGACGGTTGTGAAGTGTTAAATGTACGAAATTAGTCCCTACTTAACAGATTGTTAAACTGCTATAAATATCTACAAAAATCGAGTTAAATTGATCTTGATCTTGTCTTATTACTGCAAGTTTTGATACTTTCAAGTTAATTTGTTGCCGTTAAAAAACTGTGTTTGTATCTTAGAGCTTTTTAGCATTTAGGAAAATCAAAGTTTCTGCTTTATGATTGGTCGAAGAAATTACTGATTTATTTGCATCAGAATCCTCTCTTTCTGGATTTTGTAGGGACTGATAAAAATACTGATACGAAGATTCAAAACGACCTAGATGCGAAACAATGACACGGAATTTTATTATTAATTGTAAAAATCAAAGCTTGATTAAGTTTTTTTCAATGTCAATTTTCGCTCTTTTGAAAATGTTAACACAACTTTCAAAAAATAACTAAGATCAAAGTCTGAAAAAAATCTATATACTTTAACTGCCAAATGTGTGCCTTATTTTTTCAACAATTTTGAGTTTCGCCTACTAGCGCGTGACTGTTTGTTTGTTGAAGTAACTTTGATGAAGTACATCCTTCTGCTCTGAATTTTATTTATGGTTTTTTATCTGCGTTGAGCTTTGTAGATTTTGTTTGAGATTATTGGGCTAGCGTTCTCATATGAAATGATTGGAATCTAGTTTGTTCCAATTATAACCAATTGATTTGGTTTTAAAGAAGCAATTCAACGAAAATGGCTTAAAACGTTTTTGCTGGGATTGATCAGGTGTTGGGTTGATTTTGTCTTTGATGGATTGGTAAGTTTGAGTGAAAAATGAGAATCGGCAAAAAATTTAGATTCTTCTTTTTTTTAATTCTTCCGCCATATGCGTTCACGCACTGAAGCTTCATGAATAATTAAAATATAAAAAAATATAATATATTTGAGTTTCATTATGAGTGTATATGAAAAAATAAAAAAACTGATTTTGACAGTTGTGATTTGATTATTTAATTTTAACTTCTAGTTATTTGAGCAATAAAATCTATTGTATAACAAGAATGGCCGGTTGCCGTGCATGCAGCATATAATGTTCCAGCCACATTCATTAAGAAAACAGAGAAGTGTTTTCTTCTGATTTTTTTCTAGATGGTGTGATGAGAGAGAAAAAATGCTGTGTTTTTGTGAGAATTAAACAAAATTGACAACAGTTGTCTTCAAAAAATGAAAAATAATCAAAAACTTTTTAAAAAAATTATAAGAAAAACATTTTTTTTTCGAGCACGATAAAATTTCTAATCGTTTAGAAAAATTTTATTGCCCAGATTAAGGACCTAATGAAGCTTCCACAATAGTTTGTTGAAAGTTTTTTTTAGGTTAATTGGCGAAGGTTTATCAAACTTTATTTAACGAACGTTACGTGATCGCGTTAATCGCGTTAATTCTGACCAATTTTTTCTCAGCGCTGGAACATCTTTTTCGACATCTTTTTTCAATGTTGTTTGAATCATTACAAAAAAGGGTTCAATGTTATATATCATTCAACCCATGCCAATGGTTTTGTGGCACCTGGTTTTAAGTGAAAATGAGAAAAAGCTGAATTACACACGAATACAAACCCGGGTTGACCAAAACTTCTAATCATACAATTTCCATATATGAGAAACTTCTTGTCATACAATTCCATACAATTCCATACGTACAGAAAATTGTATGAAATCTCTATGATGAACATTTTTCCATATATGGAAATTGTAAAATTAGAAGTTTCCCATATACGAAAATTGTATGACTAAAAGTTTGTCATTTATGAAAATTGTATGATTAACACTTTTTTAAAATGAAGTGAGGCAAAAATTACGTCAAAGCCCATCCCATAAAACGTGCAATCTCTGAACAGAGAAGAAAACTTGAGAAAAATTGCAGTACTTTAGAGGTTTGAAGCTGAAATTGTACATTTTCTGCAAGAAAATCTTTTCAACTCTTGAGAGAGCAACAAAATCCTTAACCTTATCCTATGGGAACCAGTACCTGGGCGAGGGGCTAAAACAAAAAACAAACCTGATCAGACATGTGTCAGACGACCCAAAACTGAAATGCTGTTTTTGCAAAAAAACAACCTACCTTGAGCCAAAGCCGCTTTTCTATTTTATATAGCTTCTTAAAAAACCTTTTCAAAAGATTTCTGAAAACTTTATCAATAATGAAAAAAATGCTTATCATACAATTTCCATATATTGGAATTGTATAATAAAGGTTTTTTTCAAAAAACAAAAACCTCAATTTTTTCATCACCCGACTGTTTTATTATAATCAAACAGCCGCAGAAATCAGTTTAAACCTTTCTTCTACCATTTTTCAAAATTGTATGAAAATTGTATGACAAGCATTTTTTCCATACACTTGATGTATGGAATTGTATGATAAGCATTTTCGGTGTATGGAGGTCAACCCTGGAAGTTTCTCCCCATTTTCAATGGTCGAAACAGCAATAATTATGGATTATTTATCACTTTTAAAGAGACTCACATGAAAATGAAAATCAAGTGTAATCGATAGTATTTTTATCTCATTTTTTTTCAGATGCGAGTAAGTATCCAAAATTCAACGCACACAAAGTCGCTTGCACATTTAATGCTAAGTTGGTTCTTTCATATTCAAGTTCAACCTTTTTCAGTGGAAGTTTTTGTTAATTAATTTTGTAACTCTATTTTTTCCTTTGACTATGCTTTTTATATTCTCTTAATTTATTTAATATGTTTCTTAAATTTACTGACTTTTGCGTTCACACCCAACCTACCCCTCCCCTGGGTTAAAGAATAGGGGGTTAAACGTACGTTGGGAGGATGAGTTTTGGCGAAATGGGGAGGGGTGTAAAAGATAAAAGTGGGGTGGGGATAGGATAAAGGTTGGAGATGGGATTAACATTGGGGGGTAAAGATTACTACGAAAAAACAAAAGATTTGAAACAACCCCCCCCCCCAAAAAAAAAATTTTGCCCGCCTCTGGGTAAATGTGTGTTTGTGGAGGGGGTTGAAACGTTGAAAAGATTAAGATTGGGGATGCGGGAAATTTTGGCGGGAACGTTTTTGTTTGAGAAGTGGGGGTTTTAAAACTTGGAAACTTTTATAACGTTTATATAAAACGTTGGTAGGTTGAAATTTTGGCCGCACAATCAGAAGTTTTTTTGCAAAATTTCTTCATTATTCATGTGATTGATAAAAATCTTGCACAACGCAAAGCAAAAAAAATGGTTAAAAAATTTTTCATGGATTTTAAATGGATTTTAAATGGATTTTAATTAATTTTAAATTTGAGAAAAAATCGCATTATCAACCGATTTATAATCCATGTTGTTGTCAGAGGGCGACATGACATGGTAATCGATAAAAATGGCATTTTTCTAGATCACAGAAATCCATTGATTTTTTTTTTCACTATACTCAGATGGGGGTTGTTCGAATGTGACATTTTTGATTGCTTATTCAGGTCTTACTGAAAAGATGATTAGATGTACTATTACAGTCAATGAATAGCAAACCTTTGTTTTTAGATTGAACCTCCTTCATGATGTTGAGGCTCCGGAGAAGGAATACGTGATGCGCTTTCCAGCACTGGGAACAGTATACGAGTACAGATTCGTGAAAGAGGTGTGAAAACTCATCAATCGATTTTGTCAATAAGCTGAATATGTTTCTTTTTCACATGTGCCGACTTTTAACTGATTCTGTTTCAATTTTAGATTGATGGAGGCGACACAGCAAAATTTGCCCAAAATGAAGTAAGTGCATCATCAGTTTAAAGAAACATAAAAAACTAGACTCAATCTGAAAAAATCTCAACAAAAAGCAGGGGCGGACTTGAAGGGGGGGGGGGGGTGGGGGAGAAGGACTCTTTTTTTCAGGGATTCGGCCCCCTGCCGACCCAAACTTGCTCTGTTAGCGGGAAAATTTACTACTCTGGTAAAAAGTGTAATGTTTTGATAAATAAAAACAAAATGATTTTCTTGAATATTTGATCTGCTTGTTCCGTTTTTTTTTAAATTGATCATAGAAATTGAATATTATGATTAAGTTTTTGTTCTTTAATACTGTTTTTCATGAACTTTTTTCTTGTTCAAAAAAAACTCCACCTTTCTTTCAGTTCACTCAATCCTCCTCTTCTAAACGCATACAAAAAATGTATCTGGATCTTTTGAATGTTCTTATTTCTGATTGCGTGGAAAAAGCTTATATTTTCCAACACGGCAAAAATATATTTCGTTTTCAGCTCAAAGCCCATTTTGAACTGTGGGTTGAAAAGATCAAAGACGCGCCTCCCATCCCCAAAGACGCCACTGTCAATCAGATAATTGTGCCGACTATAGACACTGTCAGAGTGCAGACTCTAGCTGAACTGCTGGTGACTCATCAGAAGGCTGTGTTGTTTGTAGGACAGACTGGCACAGGGAAATCTGTATACTTGAATGTAAGTATAGTTATATAGTTGTTGCTTAGGTTAATTTGGTGTGAGTATATTTATATAGTTTTAGTTGAATATTCAAAGTTATTGCGTTTTAAGTGTTTAAAAATTAGGTAAATGACAATTGATAATTTCGTTCGGAATTTGCTTTTGTCCATTCCAAAAAGCCATCATACAAAAAGTCAAAACGGTATGATTTGTTTTTTTTAGCAATAAATCAATTCGAATTGATTTTAATTTTTTTTTGCTAAAAATGATGAGAGAAGACATTTTGACACATATCTACCTGTTGGCCATTCCCCTAATCAAATTAGCAAATTGCAAACTCCCATAAGCTTAGGAAAAATGATTGTAGTTGAATAATTTGTTTTGCTTTGCGCTCAGGAATTTCTTTCAGATAGTAAAAATTATTTTTTGTTTTCAACCCGCATCCAGTTTCAAGCGTTAATAATCGATTACATTACGATTTTAGTACCAGTCTCACTAAAATTGAGAAACAATCGATTTTAATCAATTAAGAATCGATTATAATCTCTCTTTTTAAAATCAAATTACAATTAATTATAATCCATTATAATCGATTATAATCAATTATTTATTTGTCTATTTTTCGATAAAATTATAATCGATTATAATTGATTATAATCCATTATTTTTATTCAAGTTTCTATTTCATTAGTTTTGCACAAAAATCCATTATAATCGATTATAATTGATTATAATCTTTTTTGTTTGTCCATTTTTGTCTTCGAAGTTGCATCTAAATTGCTTATATTTTATGCTTTTTGTCGACGTTGGTTCCTATGAAAAATGAGAAAACAATTTTTAAAGTTTTCCAATTAATTCAAATTTATAAGTTTTTTTTTTAATTTCTTCCCTTTTAGAGTTGTTTTGTGATGCATATTTTAAGCTTTTTTAAACACCAAAACATCGGCAAATTGATTTAGTTTGATGATTGATTCGGAAAATTAGTTTTCATCTACCGCGAGAACTTTTCCACTCATATGAAAGGATCTCTATGAAACTTTTGTTTCGTGGTAAGACTTTGTGTTCAGATGAATCAAAGTGTTCAAGAGATCTCTCTTTTAGAGATTTTCTTATTGACACAAAAGTAAAAACCCTTAAGATATAAGTCGAATAGAGGAAATCTTCGGCAAAATAAGAGATTATAATTGATTATAATCGATTATAATTGATATTAAAGGTTTTTAGTGAGAACTATAATCAATTATAATCAATTATAGTCGATTATAAGAGATTATAATCTCTTGGAAAATATCACGATTATAATCAATTATAAATCTTTTAAAGACCTAATTTTGGTAATTATAATCGATTATAATTGTCAAAAAATCATCATAATAATACGTTATAATCGATTATTTACGCCCAAACTTGGATGCGGGAAAAAAAAACTGCACCACATAGAACAACCCGCATCCAAGTTTAGGCGTAAATAATCGATTATAACGGATTTTCATGATGATTTTTTGACAATTATAATTGGTTATAATTACCAAAATTAGGTGTTTAAAGGATTTAAAAGTGATTATCATTGTGATAATTTCCAAGAGACTATAATCTCTTATAATCGATTATAATTGATTATAGTTCTTACAAAAAACCCTTAGAATCAATTATAATCGATTATAAACGATTATAATCTCTTATTTTGCCAAAGTTTTGTCAATTCAAAACTATATTCAAATTATATCTTATGGGTTATTATTTTTGTGTTTTTTGAATATTTTGATTCATCTGAGCACAAATTATACCTCGAAACAAAAGTTTCATAGAGATCCTTTCAAATTAGTGGAAAGACTCCGGTGGTAGATGAAAATTAAATCTTCCGAATCAATCATAAAACTAAATCAATTTGCTGATGTTTTGGTGGTTAAAAAGCTTAAAATATGCATCACAAAACAACTCTTATGGAGAAGAAATGAAAATAAAACCTTATAAATTTGAATTGATTGGAAAACTTAAAAACCTTTTTCTCAATTTTCATAGGAACCAACGTCTACAAAAAGCATAAAATATAAGCAATTTTGATGCAACTTCGAAGAACACAAAAACATAATTGATTTTTGTGCAAGACTAATAAATTAGAAATTTGAAAAAATAATTGATTTTAATCAATTATAATTGATTATATTTGTATCGAAAAATGGACGAATAAACAATCAATTATAATCGATTATAATGGATTATAATTAATTATAATTTGATCCTAAAAAGGGAGATTATAATCGATTATTAATTGATTAAAATCGATTGTGTCTCAATTTTAGTAAGACTGGTACTAAAATTGTAATATAATCGATTATTAACGCTTAAAGCTGAATGCGGGAAATGTTCCGTCAATTTCCTCAAAAATTGGACGAAACATGTCTGGAAAATAGTCCGCTAACGAATTTAACACCCATATAAATTTAACAATTGTATATGAAATTAATTCCTACTAAACAAAATCATTAAAAAAAACCAAATTTAAAGAGGAAATCTTCGTAAATTGAAAAAAAAAGAAAAACATTTCTTCCATTACTGTATATCCATTGCGGACTAAAATAACTTAAATATCAAAATTAAAATTGAAAATCAAAATATCTTCAATTGACGCTGGAAATACAGTCAAATACGTTGAATTGGATTAGTAGGTTGCGTTTTGGTGCAATTAGCACAAAGTGTTTTGACCACGCTTATTTTCGCATTGGATTGTTCTAAAGATATCGAAGGGGGCTGAAGCAGTTAAAAAGCCAAATAGGTTGTTCTTGGTTACCGATAAAATAGTTTTTGGCCAATTTTTCAAAAATTTAATGAAAATATTGAATTCGTGAGTGTAAAAAAGGTTCTCTACTTGTTTTGCTAAGTGTTGAAGGAGTCTGGCTCTAAGTTTACCGCAACTTTTTGATACTTATCCTGTAAGCGTAAATCAGTTGAGAGTGACGAAATAATGCACAGTCGAAACCATTTCAAATCGATTTAAGGCAAGCTTATTAGTCCCATTTTTTCCCTAAAGACCGCAATTAATAACACTGTAGTAAACTTTGGCTCTGAGGGGAGGAAAGTGGTTGAAAGTGCCAGAGTGAAAGTTAAAGACAGTCAAATTTTTGTTTGCTTTGGCCTGATGCGAACAGTCCTGTTGAGTTTATACGGTAAAACTGCCAGTTGTTTCGACTTGTGTAGAAAAACCCAAAAATTGTGTTGCGCTGCGGTCTTAACTTTCAGACATAGTTCGGCTGCAAAAAAATGGTACGTGAAAAATTTGTGAACAAGTTGACAATAACGCTGTCCTGAGTACAAAATACAAGTTTTATATTTTTGCCAGATGATAATTTTCTGTTGTTTTATGGGTTAAAGAAAATGGCCAAGTAGTTGGATTTTTTATGCCCGCTTTGTATTGTTTTTCAAAGCTTGGATGAGATTTCTAAGCTCAAAAATTGTTCTTTGAAGACAAATCAATTATCATCTTTTTTTTCAATGATTATAGACAGAAAAACCATCTCATGAACAAGCCTTTGGGAAAATGTTGTTCAAAAAATCTTTCAAATTTAGAAGCATTGTATGAAACGTTTTAATGTATCTTTTGTCATTTTGCAAGATCATTTTGCAAGACTTAAAACACATAATTGTAAAAACAATGGATTTAAAATTTGTGGATAAAAAACTATAACTGCAGTGCTCATTGATTAAAACTGTCTGACGAAACGTAAAGTTTAAAATGGTCCTGATCTATCAGCATCTTTTTCAAGCGTAAAACCAAATTTTATGCAAACAAACGGTTTCTTTTCTTTGCCAGCAAATTTTTTTTGTTTGCATACTGTAGCCCTTAATATCTAAAGTTTGCTAACTTTTGTTTTCAATTATCGTTTTTGTGGAGGTCTCAAACCAACATTTTTACTCAAGCAAAGCTTGTGTGATAGTATGAACTCTCTTTTTTCCCAACCTAAGTCGCAAATATTTTTGTACATTTTGAAAATGTTCTTTTTTTGCAGTATTTACATAAAATTAATAACCAGCTATTAAGTGCAGCCATTGCTCAGGGTATTAAAACAGACCTTTACATTACAATTAACATCTTAGCGTCAAGGTATCTTGAATCTGCAGCGTAGAGGTAGGGAAGGAGACCCGCAACAAAATAAGAGGGTTCGAACCTTTGTAGGGTCGGATTTTTTTAATGAATTTTTTTTCGCATACTAGTTAAAATGCATCGGTCAGTTTACCAATTTACTCAGTCAGTTTTTCTCAGTACCGTTATTGGTCAAAATTTTACTTGTGTATGCGAAATGCAACTTCGCCTCTGTGTTTATATAGGTTTTATTCTATGAGGTTTTAATCCAACAATTGACTTCTAAAAACTAAGGTCATCAAATTTTTTGGTTCATTTAAAAAATTTTTCTCTACAATATAAGTTCCTTTTTTTAAGATATATTTGATCAAGTCTCATAGCCTTTTACGTGTAATCATTTAAACATCTTAGTCGCTGATGTTTTAAATAGCTAGGATCGTTTTTGATTGTGGCTATTTACGAGCACATAAAAGTAATTCTATGCAAAAAACTACCATTTTGATTTTTTGGAATACGCTAGTAATACAATTTGATAGGTTTGGAATACGCTACCATACTTGATAAAAACCATTTTTCATACCTTTCCTGCAATTTTTTTTACAATTTTGGATATACATGAAGCTTGTTTAATCAAACAAAAATATTCGAAAATTTACAATGTTTTGGAGATCAAATTCTTGTTAAACTTTGTTGGACGACTACGAAGCCCAACTAATTTTAACGAGTGTTTGATCTCCAAAACATTGTAAGTAATAAATATTTTTTGTTTTTTAGCTAAAAATGTCACAGAACAATTTTACCTTTTATAAAAAAAATTTTTAAAGCAATTCGCGGAATTTTTGTTGATTATACTGTTCTAATACCTTGTTGAGATACGTTAGAGGCTCACTTTGATATACTTTCGGCACTAATTGACTCGGTAGTTTTGGACTAATTTATTATCAAATAAAAATTCAAAAATGATCCGTTTTTGGGGTAGTTTTGAACCCGGATTTTGCAAAACAAAATGCTTTAAATCTTTTAAAAATTTAAGCAGGTTTTCTTTTTTTATCACTGTTCACCTAATTTCAACTCACTTTGGGAGAAAATGCGTTTTAATTTTCAGGGTTTAGGCAATTTTTCCGGATAATTCAAATCAACACTGAAACAAATAGTAAAATTTTGGGCAAAAAATTTCATTTAAAAATATTTGACCTATTTTGGAAAAAAAATTGCATGCAAAAGCGAACTGCGCAGACCAAGTTTGAGCCTCAAGATTGTCTCAAACTTCAAAATAGCAAAACATGCAAAATTTTGCAAAATTTAACAAAGTTTTGTCAAAAATTATAAGATTGCTCTCTTTAATTTATTCTGTTTGTGCGATCTTTTTTTCTTTTTTCAACTCTCTATAAATGTTTTAGGACTTTTTGTACAACCACCTGGACAAGGAGATGTACAAGCCCATCATAATCAATTTCTCGGCACAGACGAGTGCTAACCAGACACAGGACATCATCATGTCCAAACTGGACAAGAGGAGGAAGGGAGTGTATGGACCCCCTCTTGGAAAGAAAACTGTGAGTAGAGACACGTCTTATTCCGGTTACGTAAATTCGGTAAGAACGTTGTTGACTTGATACCAAAAATAAGCGCGTATCATGGATTTTTTTCTCGAGGCGGGGGCGAGGGGTGTTGATTATCGAAAAGTTTTCGGAAAATTTGTGTGCCTTTTTTTAAAGTTGCGAAAGAAGTATAAGCAACTACTTACTTATTCTTAACTTATAAATTACTTACACTTTTTACTTATACTTTGAAGAAAGGCCGTCAAAGTTTGGAAAGGGGTGACATCCATTGATTTCGTTTTCACTCTTTGATTCCCGAGGCTAGCTAAGATTCATGATTAGGAATGATGTAATTAATTACATAACCTTTACATAACGATACATCATCGTACATAATGATTACATCATCATACATAATGATTACATCATCAGGTGGTGTACGTGGACGATATGAACATGCCAATGCGTGAGAAGTACGGAGCTCAGCCGCCAGTGGAACTTCTGAGACAGTGGCTGGACCATTGGCAGTGGTATGACAGGAAGGACTGCACTTCCATGAAGTTGATTGACATACAACTGGTTGCATCAATGGGACCAGCAGGTGAACATTTGGGTGTTTTTCAACGACCCCCCCCCCCCCCCATTGGTACCTAGTAGCGAATTACCATCCCTATAATGAAATAATAGAAATAAATCACCACAGTTAAGCATATGTGAACTATGTCCCTTTGTAACTAATCTCCCCCTCCCCTCTTTGCAAAGGGGGATAGTTAAAGAGATCCAATATTTGATGCAATACAGTATTAAACTAATCTCCAATTTTTGTCTGTTTTTTGTTGACACGATTTGTGAGGTTTTACATTTTGTTTTATCATTTTTGTTTAATCCGTGTTCGCTATTTCATTGCTTACTTTCAACCTACCTTTTTTCTTAGGAAAAGTTAATTTACAGAGTCGTCTTTGTTATGAACTTGAATTTATCAGTTTTGAATCAATCTTCCGCCCGTTTGATGTCCGATTTATAATCTTACATTAAATCAGTGAAATTCCTCAGATCTCGGGTTGACCTCGATAGACCAAAAATGCTAAACGTACAATTCCTTAAACTAAGTCTATGAAAAAAAACTACCCATACAAATTTCATACATGTTGCTAAAAAGATGTCATCGAATTTTCGAAGAACTTTTCTCCTGTTTTGGCACAAATGTCGGTGTATCCTACTAAATTAAAAAGATAAACTAAATAACAAAAATTTTTCAGTTTTTTTGAATTTTTTTTTCAGCCACAAAATGATTTTTGTACACAAACACACTTTTTTTGAAATAAAAATTTGCATGCAAAAATTTGGTTTTTGGCGTGTATGACGTATTACTGGATATACTAATATTAGTTTTTTTTTCCTTTTCTCTGAATAATTTTTTTCAAAAACGCTTAAAACTCGTCTTTCTTTTGTATGGCATGTTTATGTATGCCTTAATCAATGTCTGGTAAATTAGAAAATTCAAATTTTAAAAATAGTCATCTTAGAAATATTTTGCTAAAACTTAACAGTTTCATAATTTCGTTATATTATTTGTGTAAGACAGAATTAAGACATTTCGGATCGTTTCCAATGCATTTTAATGCAAGACGGTCAAACCTTTGTTACTACCTTTGATTATCAAGATTTTTGTCATATGTGTTCGGTTACGGTTACGGAAAACTTTGTTGCAACATTACTTCTTGTGCAAAATGTTGTGCAAGACGTTCTTATCTGAGTTTTTGAATTATAAGCTGACATTTCTAGTTATCATTCATCAAACACACACAATAATCATTTAAAAAATCAATTATCTCCTATCCCCTATATTCTTCTATAGGGGATTGACTCCCCTGTTCAAAGCGGGTTTAATGTGTGTGAAATTTGCACATTACGAGTCCAAGCTGTGTATTTTGTGAATTGTGAGCTGATTCCGCAACAAGGACCCTCTCATTGTTCTTCTTTTGTTCATTCATTTTTTTTTATCGTTCCGACCTTAAAACGCTAAATTGTGCGCCTATCCAGTGCACAGTTAGGTCTCGTCATGCAATTAGTAACAATTCTTCTCCATATTTTAAAAAGGGCGAACTAGTTAAAGAGATGTGATTTTTGTGACTGCTACTTTCTTTGCTTCGTAAAAAAAATAAAATTCGTCCGTTTTTTGGGTCAATTTTTTGACTGGTTGGGTTATCTTTTGACTTTTTTCTTGCTATTGAAGATATTATACAAAAAGTTAAGTGCAACTGGGTTTTATCTTTTGCCGAAAAAAAACTTCTGTGAACCCATAACTGTTCTCATTCGATAACCATCCGTAATTTCTTAAGGGGAAAATCGTGGAGGAGCGGAAAAATTGAATGTGGGCAGGTTTAAACGTGGTTGTTTTCTATTGTGGGGTTAACAAAAAGTTGGAGTCAATGAAAAGCGGTTGAAATTAGGAAAAACATGAAATTTAGTGAGACAACCATACATTAAACTCACCCAGTTTGACAAAAATGCTCATCATACAATTTCATACATTTTCGTAGACCAAATAAAGCATGAAAAAAAGATGATATGTGTTTTTTTTCTATACTATAAAACATTTTTATTTAAGCATTTTTACCAATATTTCGAAATAAAATCAAAGCTTTTACAATGGCCTTCTTGTCCACAACTTTTTTTAAAAAATGGCATTATAGGCAATTTTTGCTCTTATAAAATTGTATGATAAAAATTTTTTTATTATGAAATTGTGTGATAAGTAGTTTTTTTTCATACTATGAAATAAATTGTATGACGAGCATTTTTGCCTACTATGAAATTAATTGTATGATGGGCATTTTTTTCATTCTATGAAACTGTGAACATAGAATTTTTTAAAAACATTTATGGAACAGAATGGAAAGCATTTTTTGCACTATTGAAACAAAATTTACTAAGTTTTGCATTACAAAAATTTATTATTCGAGGTTTTTTTATGAAAACTGTATGCTAGACAATTTTTCATTCAAAAATGTAAATCTATTTTTAATTGACAGAAAGTTTCAAAAAAGTCTAATAGACTAAAACTTTCATTTATGTTTTTGAAAAATTTTTTGAAATCTGAATGAAAATTGTTTGATAGGGATTTTTCCACCGATGCCATACATAAAAATGGTTGAAATAATCAATTATAATCCAATACGAATGGATTTTTTTGCTTGGAAAAATGTTAAGCAAATCAACCACTTTCGATCAAATGTTTTTGAATTTTAGAGAGTTAGCCTATAAAAAACTGAATCAAATAATTGAAACTCCACATTGGGTAGATTCTTATAAAATTAGTTTTTGGCTGTGCTAGCTCGACATGTTCGCAGCATAAAATTAGATTTTGATCGACATCATTTTTTTCTTGAAACTTTTGATTTTGCTCTCACTGCTGAACAATGCTCTGAGATACTTCTTTTTTTTTCATCTAAACTTTACAATGTTCAATAAAGAATGTTATATTATTCCTCAAATTGCTGTGTAATTGCTGTTACACAAGAAATAACCAAAAAATTTTCGATTTAATTTCTTGTTATTTTTGAAAAGTTCCGCAAAATTTTGCTTCGAAAAGGCAAAGACAAAATAGCGCGTCATTATTATCGTATCTAGGACTACGTTGTGCACATAAAAAATTAAATTTTGCAAAAATTGTTTTACAAAATTAGATTTGCGGTTGAAAAAAAATTTTTTGGGGCAAGTTTTCAAAATTACTACTGAAAGTTTTTTTGTCGTATATGGAAATTGTATGGTAAGCATTTTTTTCAAAAAAAAAATTCAAAACAGTTTTTTTTGTCACCAATCTGTTCAACTGTTCTCAAAAAGCCGCAGAAATGGTTTAATTTTTTTAAAATTGTTTTTCGAAAATGTATGAAAATTGTATGACAAGCATTTTCTCCATACATTTGATCTATGGAATTGTATGATAATGATATTTGTTGTATGGAATTGTATGATAAGCAGTTTTGGTGTATGGAGGTCAACCCGGGTTGATTAAATTCTATGGTGATTTTAAAAAATCGGTTTAATTCAATAAATATGGATTCAATTTGAATTGATATTTGACTTATGAGTCTAATTTAAAAAAAAAAGAAAGCAAGAAAAAATTCACGGTATCTGGCAAATTTTTGACCGTGCTCGACGTTTGCTTAGATTGAGGCTGACTTCTAAAAAAGTTGCTTTATTGTATTTCAACCTTCCTGGGTGTATGCATTAAACGATGTTTTATGCCCGACTTGGGATCCGTACAAAATATCAGAGTGTGAACAATTATTTTTTTCTCTTTTGTCTTGTTTGAACTATGTGGAGAGCCCCCGACCCGAAAAAAAAATTAACAATACAACTAAAACCGTCGCTGTTTTCGACTATGTCATAAAAGTGAAACTAATACGATCGCTTTCAAGTCTGCGTCAAAACATCTGAGATCTTTTGTTTGTTAATTTTGCAAGGCTACTCTTTCGTAAATTACGAAGTACAAAAATTTACTGTTTAAACTATTTAAACTTTCGTTTTTTATTTGGCAGAGGTCGCAACAACCGGTTTTATAACTAGTCAAGACGCTTTTAATATCTGGTTATCTTCCAATGCAATACCTCGTCAGAGTATTATTTGAAATTGTCTTTAAAAACGGAGAAATTTTTGTTTAATCAGTTTCTTTGTTTTTTTTTATCATATTGTTTTGTTGTTTATTTGTGGTAGGCGGTGGTCGCAACCCAGTCACTCCTCGCTTCCTGCGACACTTCAACTGTATAGTGATTGACTCGTTCAGTGATGACACAATGAAACAGATATTCACCACCATCATGAAGTGGCACTTCAATATACAGTGAGTAGAGCCAGTATCGTCCTTTCAGGTGGAAAGGGGGGGGGGGCTGGTAGAACGAGTAGCGTCTCGCCCTTTTTAGTGAGTAGAGGGAGTAGCGGCGTTTTAGGGTGAGGGTGAGGGAGGGGGCTATTTTCATTACAAAATTATCGAATGCGCAGGATGTTAACTTGGTCCAAAGCTCTAATCAATCAGTCTTAGAAGAAATTCTAACCAATCAACCCCTGATTCTCTTGCATAACTCACTCCAACTTTCTATTACTGAAATCTGGATTAATTGCCGTTAATAAAGTCACTATTGGGAAAATTGACCAATTAAATTCTAGCTTCACCGATGCCAGGTAACTAACTACCCATAATCCCTGGCCTCAACGCAAGAAGCATCAAAGCATATCGCATTTCATCCAGAAAGGGAACCAAATCCAGCGCTACTGAAAACTATTGATTAAGTTGAACAATTAAAACAATAAGTTTTGCGTCTGCGAATCGCAGTGTTTGTGTTAAAAGTTCTGTTTCGAGTTTTTTTTGCGACCCGACCCCAACGCGGTTTTCTGTATACGATGCCACACTCGGTTATTTTTTCTAGTGGTTTAGATTCCTAATTTTTCAGAATATTTTTCCAGAATTTGGTGTGGGCAACATTTTTTTGGCTCTCAGCTAAAAAACACTACAAATGTTTAAAAAATATGTCTGCGGAAACTATATTTCTGATCACAATTCTGTGCTTTGTTATAAAACCGAGTTTGGCGTCGTGAGTTGGAATTTTCGCTTGGCCTGAAGCTTGTGGTTGACTTGATGCTAAAAATGCAGTGAATGGAGATCTTGTATTCAGATCTTGTATTCAAACACTATCATTGCCATGGTAGCATGAGCGGATCAATGACACGACATGACTATCGCTATGCGTTGCAAAAAATTTTATGCTAAATGTCTAATACTTTACCGGAGGCAGACCTGCCCAGAAGAAACACCTTGTCGAAGTTTTGCAGGAAGTGCCTTGGTTTTACTATTGGTTCAAGCGTCCAGGGGTAATTTTCAAGGAGCTTTGCCACAAACCCGACCTGTACTCTCAGTTAATTGTTAAAAATAAAACAATGCACACTGCTACAAACCTGCCTAAAAGCAGACAAACAAATTTTATCTCCTCTTAGAAAGCGCACAAGTTAAGTGGCAAGAATCTTACTAATAATATGCATTTGCAGTTTATATAAAAATGTTAAAAAATATTCAGAATTAGTATTAAAATGCGATTTTTGCATATGTTAAAACCACCAGTTCCTTCCAATTTTCGGTTAGTTTTCGGTGTAAAAGTTTGAGGATGCAGAAAGTTATAGACAACATTTTTTAAGTATAGAAGTGAATTCGCGGCTAAAAAGACAATTATTTTCAAAAAAACTCTCAGAGGGCTTTGTCTTGTTGGTTTTCCTCAAAACTACTCAGCACATCTCTAGGCCTGGCTTTCAAGTAACCAATTTTGTTACGTCAATCCAACGCGCCATTTTTTCAATCGAATAGTTTTTATGACAACTTTTGGTTAAAAATTCAGAAAAAAATTATTGGAAGATTTTCTGGATTGCTTCCACCAAAGTGTCCAGAATAGTTCTGGACTCTTTAAGTTTCTGACAGAAAATCCAAGGTTTTCACCTAAGTATTTCAACCGTTTATTTAACTAGCAAAATGTTTTAATTATACTGGCGAAAATAGACTTTTACAATCGGGAGTTCGAATTGGACGTTTGTCAGTAATGAAGTTTTATACTGGCAAGTATAGGAGATTCCAGTAACTTTTTGTTAAAACGATATTTTTCTGGAAGATCAACCAATCAAGCAAGTTTAGGAGATTCCAGTAACTTTTTGTTAAAACGATATTTTTCTGGAAGATCAACCAATCAAGCAAGTTTAGGAGATTCCAGTAACTTTTTGTTAAAACGATATTTTTCTGGAAGATCAACCAATCAAGCAAGTTTAAGAGATTCCAGTAACTTTTTGTTAAAACGATATTTTTCTGGAAGATCAACCAATCAAGCAAGTTTAGGAGATTCCAGTAACTTTTTGTTAAAACGATATTTTTCTGGAAGATCAACCAATCAAGCAAGTTTAGGAGATTCCAGTAACTTTTTGTTAAAACGATATTTTTCTGGAAGATCAACCAATCAAGCAAGTTTAGGAGATTCCAGTAACTTTTTGTTAAAACGATATTTTTCTGGAAGATCAACCAATCAAGCAAGTTTAAGAGATTCCAGTAACTTTTTGTTAAAACGATATTTTTCTGGAAGATCAACCAATCAAGCAAGTTTAGGAGATTCCAGTAACTTTTTGTTAAAACGATATTTTTCTGGAAGATCAACCAATCAAGCAAGTTTAGGAGATTCCAGTAACTTTTTGTTAAAACGATATTTTTCTGGAAGATCAACCAATCAAGCAAGTTTAGGAGATTCCAGTAACTTTTTGTTAAAACGATATTTTTCTGGAAGATCAACCAATCAAGCAAGTTTAGGAGATTCCAGTAACTTTTTGTTAAAACGATATTTTTCTGGAAGATCAACCAATCAAGCAAGTTTAGGAGATTCCAGTAACTTTTTGTTAAAACGATATTTTTCTGGAAGATCAACCAATCAAGCAAGTTTAGGAGATTCCAGTAACTTTTTGTTAAAACGATATTTTTCTGGAAAATCAACCAACTGCTAATATTTTTGACGAAAAGATATATAATAATTATAATAATTTTTGTTCATTCTGTTTTGAGTTTGGTGATGATTTTTGCTCAAAAACTGCAAAGAAAAGCCGTTCAAGCTTTTCTTTGCAGTTTTTGAACGATATTTGCAGTTTTTGAATGATATAATAATTTTTGAAATATTATATCAAAAAAGACATAACTTTTTTCCTCAAATCAGATATTTTTGTTGTAGAGCTCTGAGCATGATATTAAACCAAATAATTTCAACTTGGCCACGTTTTCAAAAAAAAGTCTTGTTTTTTTTTCATGCAATCAAAAAAAATGCAAAGCGTCAGCTTCATCTGCAAAACATGCACATGCAAGCAAGCGATTAACTCTTTCAACCATTGCATTTTCAGCAACTTGATAATATGTAATCAGTTATGACATAGTAAAAAATATATATAAAATATCAATGTTTTTAGTGACTTTCCCGACCATTTCAACTCACTCGGGCTTCAACTAGTAGACGCGACTCTGGAGATCTACAAGAATGCGATGAAGGCACTTCTGCCCACCCCTGCGAAGAGTCACTACCTCTTCAACTTGAGGGACTTCGCCCGGGTCATTCAGGGAGTGTTGTTGTCAACATCTGAGACGGCGGAGGACAGTGCGTCCCTAAAGAGACTGTGGGTCCATGAGGTACTATTTTTAACATATTTTTGCGCAAAAACTTACTGCTTCCGAAAACTCTACTGATATTGCTCGAGTCTTGAATCGACTAAAATAACGAAACTGGTAAACTCATGTATCGACCCTTGTCAACACAAACATCGACCCTAGTCGACTCATAAATTGACTCAAGTATCGACCCTGTTTTCAAGAAAATGTAAGTGTTCACGAGGCGCCATATTATTATCTTCACCCCACACAAGATTAGGGGAGAGAAGTTAAATTGGTGTTAGATTGGAGTTTACAGGCAACTTCCGTTCAGTTTTCGAACTTGTTACATGCACCGCTTAGCAATTTTGATCCGAATTCAATGCTGGGTTGGAAGATATTGGTGTCCTATTCCTCAACACCACGTTAATTAACCCCCACTTCAACAGTGTGAGGTAACATTTGTTTATAATCATTGATGTGATAGTTTTACTTAAAATTTAAAGTGAATTGAATTTATGACCGCTAAGTTTCACCAGACATTTTTTTATTGCTTTTGATTTAAGTAATACTTCTAAAAATTGTGCTTAGGCCTAATTTTTGTCCAAAAGTTTGCGCTTACAGATTCCTTTCAGTCTGAAACGAATCAACTAAAAACAGCAATCTCCTTGCTAAGAAAAAAACTTTGTGCAAACCGATTTACTTGAAATACTTCAAAGTTTTATAGCTTGAATAGCTTGCTTAGAAAATTTTAAGCCTTTCGCAAACTGATTCGGTTTATGAAATAACTTGAAATATTTCAAAGTTGCATAGAGTTCTATTAGCTTGCTTAGAAAAACATAAACTTTTTGGAAACCAAATCAGTCTATAAATCAGCTTGGAAAATTTTGAAAGTTTCGTAGCTTGAATAGTTTGCTTACGAAAATGTCGTGAACGATTGAAAAGTATTCGTTTCCTTAAATATCTTGAAATATGTCAAAAATTTCATAGCCATAACAGTTCGCGAAGAGACACTTAATAATTTCGCCCTCCGGTTTATGAATAAACTTGAAATATTTCAAAAGTTTCATAACTTGATTAGCATGCTTTAGAAAATTTTGACTTTTGGCAAAATGATGTGATCTAAGAAAAATTTTGAATTGTTTCGAAATTCATTGCTCGATTAGCTCGCGCACAAAAGCTAATTTTTCGCAAACAGCTCTATGAAACAATATTTTCTTTCAAATATTCATCTCTCGATTAGCTGGTTGAGAAAAACTAAATTAGCTCAAAAAATTTTGGTCTTAACAACTCGAAACGTTTCAATTGTTAATAGCTTCAATAACTTGCCTCAGTAAAATGTGAGTAATTTTTCTGACCGAAAATTTCATAGAATAAATTGACATATTTTGAAATTTCATCACTTATATAGCTTGCTAGAAAAAAACTTAAACTTTTTGTCAACTGATTGACTCTATGCAACGATCTGAAATTTTAAAAAAGTTTCTTTGCTTGAATGACAAAGAAAACTAACTTTTCGTAAAACCATTTAATCTAAAAAACAAAATGCAATTTTTCAAAGTTTCATGGCTTGAATAGCTTGAATTTTTTGCGAACTGATTCGATCCATAAAAAAAAACAGATTTTGAAAACCGATTTGTTTTATGAAATAATTTGGAGTTTTTCAAAAGTTCATCCGTAGAGTGACTCCAAAGGAAAAAACCATTCAATGCTCTGCATAAAAACTTGGAAAAAACGTGAATTTTTCGCCAACTGAATTATCAAATATATAAAGTAATATCAAATAATTTTAATTTTCTTAGCTTGAAGCTTTCCATGAACCGATTCGGTCTAACAAAAACGTCGAAGCGTGTCAAAGCTTAAGCCAAATAGCTAGCATGGTGAAAATTTGTTTTTTTGCCGATCAATTTGAAAACTCTTGAAATAATTGAAAGACTCGGCGCTTGATTGGCTCCAGTAGAAAATTTGAAATTTTTTTATTAGATTAACTTTCATTGCTTGAATGGCTGCGAAATACATTTTATTTTTTCGCTTTCCGATTTGCTTAAACTTCATTGTTTTGAATGTTTTTTGTGAACCGATTCGGTCTATTAAATATGCTATTTTTAAGGTATTATTGAGCAGTAAATTGAAGTTTTTCAAAATTTTATTGCTTGAATAGTTTACTGCGAAAAACTTTAAAACTTTTTGCCAGCTGATTTCTCTCTATAAAACAACTTGAAATATTTCAATATTTCATCCCTTGAATAGCTTCCATAAGAATTTTTAAAGTTTCGCCATCTGACTTGCTTCATGAAACATTTGAAATATTTCAAAGTTTCATTGCTTAAAAAGCTTGCTTAAAAGAGCTCAGATTTTTCGGGAAACGATTCGTTCTATGAAACCTAAGGTTTTTGACAAACTGAATTGCGATATGGCCTAACTTGAAATTGTTCAAAATTTCATTGATTGGATAACTCGATCAGAGCAACAACCAATTTATCAAGAGCCAATTGATTATCGGAGGCGGTCTTGTTAGTTTTAATTGAATGAAAAACTTATACTAGTAATTATCGTGGAGTTATTGAAACTAACTAATGAAATCTTTCATAATTCATATTATGATTTGTTTCTTTTTTCATAAATTTCCTTGTTTCTGCGCGGTACCCAAAATTTCACTGTAAAAATTCACCTTACGCCATAGTTTTTTCTTACTTATTGAGAAGTTGGTCAGAACAATGATAAAAAAAACTGTTTTGACAACCAAGTTGGGAAATAGTTTATGCCGTATTGTTGGCAATATTGGTGACCTTGAGCACTTCAATAGTTCAAAAATTAGAGCATTTTAAGGGAATTGTTTTTCAAACACGATTTAGAAGTTAGCGACGAACTGAAAAGTGAATTCCAGTTAAAAGTTAATTAAAATTATTTAGATTAGTTTTTCCGAAAAAGATATAGCCAGCATTTTGGCATTAACAATAAAACAAGAAAAAGTCAAATAAAATCTATGTTGCAGATCTACCGAGTGTTCTACGATCGTCTCGTGGACGACTCCGACCGGAAGTGGCTGCACGAGTTCGTGACCAAAGTGACGAAAGAGGTGTTGGGAGAAGACTACGTGGACATATTCTCCCGTCTCCTGGCCACTCCCAATTCAAAGATTATAACTGAAGACGATATGCGATCTCTCATGTTTTGCGACTTCCAGGTGTTTTTTTTTGGAAAAATTGTTGCTTCAGTAAATGATTATGACGGAAACAAAATACTTATTGTAATTTGATAAGGCAACTGATAATTTTGGTTGGCATTTTCAGGAGCCTGTTGATCGAAGAAGACAGAGACAAGCTGAAGCCTATCAAAACAAGGTAAGGAAACTTCCAATAAACAGTTTATTGTTTATCGAAAATGTGGGTTTCGAAAATTATAATTGTTAGCTTTGACCAACCATTTAGTCGATTTGTTTTGACCAAAAACTTATATTTGCAATAAATATTAACTAATATTAACTTATATTAACAAAAAACTAGAAAAATGATAATAAATTAACTGATGGTTTCGGCTGACTTTTTAGATGGGAATTGTGAGTACTTCATTACCTCATTGCATTATAAACGCTAACCAATATGCTTTGTGACGCAAAATTTTATAGCACGACAAAAAATTTAAAGGAGGCAACAACTCGTAAAAGGATTAAAAAAACATAAAAGTAGATTATGCGGCAAATAATTATTCACGCGCGTTTGTCCTCTCGTGCCGAAATTAAGCGCAGTGAAGCAAGTGGGCGCTACTTGGCAATGTCTTTTTAAGTTTTGCTATGTCTTTTTTGTTATTGCCTGTTACGAATTTTTGCCTTGTCGATATTTTCCAGAAACCAGAAAAACAGTAACTTTCACTTCTTGGTAATTTCTTGTGAAAATAATAAGATCCTTTTTCTACATTTATGTTACGCGCTGAAAAGATTGACGTCATATGCGCCATAAGCGAAAACCAAAAATTTTTATTAATATTTGGAAAAATACATAGATGTTTTATGTTTCACGCGTCATTACCCTGTCAGCTCCAGGTAGCGAACTGAATACCATTTGTCCCTGGATTTCATAAGTTTTGCACTAAAGTTCACAGAACATCGAGATTCCAAAATCCATGATTGGGACTCACTGATTGTAAGTACGACACTTATATAGGTCGTGTTGTTTTTTTTTTCTGCAGGAAAATGTCTCAGAAATGTCTGGGGAGCGGTGGTCAGCTCTTGTGTTGGTCCCTTCCCCCGTGGATAAAAGGTCTTAAAGTAAATGTTCACGCTCAAGTAAAATTTCCTCGGTTTGATTTTCGTTACTTTCAATTTAATTTCGTTCCCTAAAAGAAGATAAAAACGCTCTGCAATCAAAGAAAAGGCAAATGGTGCAAAAAAGTGGTTGATATTTATTTTGAAAGTGGACTTTACTTTTTAGGTTTTCAAGCGGAATGAAAAATGTATTATACTGATCTAATTTTCTCGGTGTGGATAACTAATTATGGTGAAAAACGCCAGCATGCAAGATTTTTGAAAATTTGATTCTTTTTTAAAAACTACTTAAAACAAGTTTTTTGTAGTCTCTTATAGTTCGATGACACTTTTTCAACTTTCTGCTGGCTAATTTTTCTTACCATGTACTTAAAGTGTTCTTTTTTTTCTCTCCCAGGCGTCTAAGCTGGACCAGAAGAAGTATGAAGAGGTATTGGACATTAGCTACTTGAGGAGTATAGTGGAGGGATATCTTGACGAGTACAACAACCTCAGCAAGAAGCCAATGAATCTAGTTCTCTTCAGGTTAAGTTCATAATCTAAAAAGACAAGTTAGTTATAGTCTATGAAACAAAACACGATGACGTATTTGAAATTTTTCTGGTTAGGCAAAGTTAGGCAGCTTTCTAATTTCCAAAAATCAGGAACTCAACACCCTCACGTCCTTAAACGTTCTTTTTTGAAACTACCAATTCACAGCATTAATGATTGGTCAACCAATCTAAAGGTGTCTTGTGCGCCCAAATAAAAAAAATAAGAGGAGTAGGCGTGACGAAAAAGGGCAAATTATTAGTTCAAATATTTCCAAAAAGTGCCCTAGGCGTAAATTTTGGCATTTTTAAAAAATAAAATGCCTGTGGGTTGCCCGTGGAATCTCCCTGCGTATATTTAAATCATTCTTGTGTAAATTATGTCGCAAAAATTTTATGAATGAAATGTTTTTCATTGTGTTTTTAGTATACTCCCAGAGATAAAAGTGAACTTTTTGTTCTTCTTACATAAAAAAAATGGTAAAAACATAACGGAATTTTTCAAAATTAATATTTTCAAAGTTAAAATTGAAACTTTTGTGAGAATTTAATGGAACTCATTTCATTAATGTTAAAAATGTGTTTTTTTTTTTAATTCAGGTTCGCAATTGAGCACGTGTGTCGCATATCGCGAATCATCAAACAGTCCAGAGGCCACGCCCTCCTAGTAGGCGTGGGCGGAAGTGGGCGACAGTCACTCACCCGTCTGGCAGCCCACATGGCAGACTACGATCTGTTCCAAGTGGAGTTGAGCAAGGCTTACGGCATGAACGAATGGAGGGAGGATTTGAAAAATATAGCGAGGAAGACGGCAGAGGGCGACAATAATACTGTGTTTTTGTTCAGCGACACCCAAGTAAGTATTCGATTAGGCGAGTCAAGTTTTATTTCAGATGTGGCGCCCAAGTAGAGTATTCGAAAAAGAATGCCAAGTTTTTGTATTTTTTTTTCTAATTTATTCGACCTGTAAAATAATTGGAAAAATTTACCACTGAAATATTATTGACTATTTAACATTGAATAATTATTGAACAAAAAATCAACTTTTCAATAACGAATATTTTTGCATTTATATTCTCAGACAGTATGTTTACTGAAAAAAAAAAAAGAAATTTCATTGTAGTAACTTAAAAAATTTCCAAACTTTTAGATCAAAGTGGAGGCATTTTTGGAGGACATTAACAACTTGTTAAATGCAGGAGAAGTTCCCAATATCTTCCCAGTGGACGAAAAACAGGAGATATGCGAAAAGATGCGACAAATAGAAAGGTACACTTCACTGTTATGAAAGAGTTATAAAAACTCTGAACACTCTTCGAAAATCTTCAAGCTGGCCGAATGCTTATTAAAATTATTCGATAAACTAGTGGGAGTTGGTTTCTTACTTTTTTGAGTGAATACAATTTCAGTGTTTTTCGTCTAGTTAATATATTTTATAATTTTAATTTGTTTTAGGAAACAGTAAGTAATAAGCGAAAAGTTGCTAATTTCATTCTAGTTTTTTTAGAAACTGACTGCTTCATCCCATGCCTATAAATATCAAAACAAGAGTGCTCGTATATCAGGGCAATGCTCTGAATGTTTCGACTGTCCATTAATTCATATCGAATAGTTTTTGGGAAAATAAGATATTGAAAACCTATAAATTTTGGACAAAATCAAAGTGTTAAATGTTGAGTCGAACGGAATTAGAACGGCAGATCTGATCAATTAGCCTCAATTCAGTTTGGAACAATTTTGTTGTGCGGGATAATTTGCCACGCATAAATAATTCGCGTTACGCTCTCAGCAATATAAATAAATTCTTCAAAGCACAAATGAATTAGTCCAGACATGGCCAATTTGGCAATTTTCAAACCGCCAGAACTTCCGACAAAAAAACGAAGGTAAAATATCCGCTTAAGTTTGAACTCAATATCTTAAATGGGGTATAAAAAATGTTTTTCGAAATTTATTATTTCGATCGGCTACAATTGATCGAATGAAAAAAAACCACACCGAGCATAAATATTCTGTTTTTTCTTCGAAGTCAGAACTTTAAAGCAATTAAACATCATGAGCAATAACTATCTTCTATCTCTCGCTTTCATCATCGAATCCATGTGCGTTATAAAATAAACCAGAGATTATGAAGTCATAAATTACTCATTGTTCCATTCCGAGGCCAAACTGTGTGTGCGCGCTCAATCTCCGTAGGATGAATTTAAAACCGAAAAATCAATAATAAAATCGTATTCTCGGCAATACAAAATTCATCGGCAAAATTGATAATTTCATCCAAAATTTGCTTTACGGCAAGTTCATAAATTCACCAATAGTCTTGTCCAAAAAACCGGTCGGAAATGACCACAAGAACCGGTTGGTAATGTCCTTGAGACAATTTGCTCTTTTTGAGGGTCAGCCTTAATCAAGGCTAAGCCGAATTAAAACAAAAAAGTGTAAAAAAATGGCCAAATGGGTCTATAGCCCCTCGGGTCTACATGTTTCAAGGTTTGCGAAATGGGGTCTCGAATCCGATCGACCGAGTGCTAGGTTCATATGCATTTATACTCCAGTTACATTTGCGCTGCAACACTGTGCACTGTATAGGCGCACAATATTGTGTCTGTATGTTACTGGGTTATAGAAAAGAAACTTTAAACAAAATAAAACTTTGTTGGAACGATGAGAGGAAAGGATTGAAGAAAAAAGAGCGAAGGGAGCGTCTTTGTTGCGGAATCCACTTTTCTTTTTGTCGCGGAATCAAATAAGTGCCTCAGCGTCGATAGCAGTTTGTCTGAATGATTTCCGTTTTTTGATTTAACCAGACGAATCTTTACAAGAAATTAATTTCATTGAATCTGTTTTTACTAGTTTTCCTCGCAATTTTCTGATTCATTTCTGGCACTTAGAAGTTAATTCACCTGGTATTAATTTTTTTGTAAATAACTGGGTGTTTGAAAAATGATAAAAACGGTTTTAAATTACTCTTTTAAGTTACGCGCGCTAAGTTATTGTTTATCTATGAAGGTCATCGTGTGAACTCTAGGTAAATGAGCGCAAAAGGTTATGCCAATTATAAAAAATATCTTCATCTGAGAATAAGGCAAGCTAACTAGCTCTAAAAATATATACATAATACTTGATATTTCTTGTTGGTGTTGGAAAAATAATTTGATACATTTGTGTTTTAATTTTTGATTTGCTAAAAACATAATCAAGTTAGAGACATTTCATTATAATTCTGAAACATTTGGTTTTTCGTCGACATTTGGTTCAAATCAACTTCAGTTCTGAAAGCCAAAACAATTTAAAAAAATACTTGAGAACACAAATGCAACTATGAGAGAATCTCTCTCTCATAACTCCTATTTAAATAACTAGAGTGTCATTAAAAATTCCTCTTGCAGTTTGTTCGATCAACTCAAAAATAAAGAAAAAAGAAAGTAACAGATTGCATCTTTTGTTGCTCTAGATCTCATTGACGTCCTCCCACTTAACTGATGATTCTGATGGTTTTGGAGCGAAAAGACTAAAGAAAATAACTTACAATTATAATTTATATCTAATTATTTTTGTGCTTTGAATAAATTTTATCAACAAGGGCGTATTAAGGCGGTAGGGTGAGGACGGATAATTTACCCACTGAGAAGTCGGAGCCTGAACATACAAAAAACCCTCCTTTAATACTATTTAACGCCACGTCTGTTTGGTTCACCAAACCAAAACCGACGCCAAAATCCTTAAATTTGAACGAACTCGGGCCAAAAAGTCGCAGTTTATAACTTCAAAAATTTTTCAAAAAGATTCCGCAAAAAACTGTCAAAATACTGTCTTCATACTGTTTTAAGTCGCTCAGAAGTTAAACTTGATCAACCCTAAAAAGGAGGTCAAAAATTTTCCAAAAATACGCCCTCGAAAAATTTGTGCTGTAAATCTGAAGTACCCTGGGAGTCTGAGCGAAATCAATTGTTAAGCTAATAAACTGTCCGGGTAATTCCATTATCTTTCAATTCAATTTATACCTAAACTATAAACTCAATAAAATGGCATGCGTCAAAACTCAAAAAAGTTTTATATTGGCTGTTTTAAGAACGAATTCGCAAAAGTCTTTTACAGTTTTTGAAACTTTTTTCAACCAAACCATCTTAGCTTGCATCCTTAAGTTCTTGGTTGAGTAGCAGAAAAAAAACAGATTTCTTTTTTTTACCACCATTTGCAGAAAACTAAATTTGTGCCTTCATTAAGAAAAACAACTTTGGTCGATAACTTCATTTATCCTATAATT